TGTACATGTGCACACCTTGAGAATATATAAGACTCCTTTTGACTCTTTTTGGCAAGGCCACACACACAGAGAGACCTGAAGAGCAGTGCCAGTGCCAGTGCCTTTTGCGAACTTCACTAATCCTTGGGCTACTCCTTTTGTTCGCGCGAGAGTTTCTCCGTTTTCCCCGTACTATTGTCGTGCGTGAGCAGAAGGAATGGCCATAGCGGAGTAGAAGTAGAAGCCGAGGAAGGAGTAAAAGTGCGTCGCGCCCACCGCAAGGTGAAAGACAATGAAGCGAAGCCAAAAGGAGCGAACCCTAAGCAGAACATTTAGGGTTAGTTCCAGGATTTGGCCATAACCATAACCCAGGAATGGGACTGGGACTGGGACTGGTAGAGGGACAGGATTGCAGGAGAAGGGCTGGCCAGGGCTACCTGGGTTGGGCATCAACACCCCTTTAATTACGCTGGTAAAGATTACACCCCTTTTTCGAAGGGGTCGCAGTCGGAGCGGGTAGAGGACCGAATGTTTTGGTTTTGGTCGTGGCAACTTATGGTTGACTCGTCCTTGGGCAGATTCGCTCGTTTATGGCCCATCCGCGATACTTTCGCATTGGCCTGGCCTGGCCTGGCCTGCCATCGCCTCGCCAGCCGAACGGAGTCGCGGGCGTGACGCGTTTATGGTGTGTTTAGATACTTTTCGCAAGCAATTCAAATCGCAACAATGCAGCATGCACCCGTACTGCACCCAGGCCTTGACTTCTGATCGTATAATGCCCATATTTACCTAATTATAATGCGAATCTCAAGGACTGCCGTGGAACAATTTTTGCGTGGAACTTTTTGGCGTTGCCGGGAAATTGGTGTTGTTCATTGCAGTTCATTGGAAGCATTTTCAATAACTCAAATTGTTTTTTCGTCTACCTCATTGGACTGGACTGACTAACTGCCTTCTGCCTTCTGCCTTTAGCCTTCCTTCTCCCTCCCAGGCTTTCTTCTGTCTTTCTGTTTTTGCCGTGGAATTGCAAATTGCTTTCGAGGCTAAGCCTTGAACCAAGTTTTTGCCTTCGTACAATATATTTCGCTATCGCTCTCTCTCTGTCTCTCTCTGTCTATCTTTTCGACTTGATGTATGAGAAAATTATGATGGATTCTTAACTTTACCCCATCCCAGCTATAGGAAATCCATTATGGCAGGGAAATAAAAAATGTCTGCTAGCGATAGCATTGATTTTTGCTATGGCTAGTTGTTTCTTGGAAGAGCAACAATGATGTCAGTAGCTCAAGGAAGTTTGATTCATAGAAAGATGTTAAATATGTTCAAGGCTAATTCATAGATTTTAGGGGAGTTACCTCGGATATTTTGTTCTTCTATTTTTCTGATTTTTATTCAGAGGAAATGCAATTAACTTATATTTAATGCTAAGTTGAAACTGAAAGTAGTTTTGGCCTTTGGTAATGTTTCCCTGGAAGAGCAATTAAAGATCCCAGTAGCTTAAAGATGTCCAATTCAGAAGAAACAAATTGTATTCTAAGCCAGGAAGGTCACCAAAAGTATCAGCATTTTCTTAGTTTTTCCAATTTGTTGCCTTGACTCACAAAAAATATATTTTTAGTGGAAAAAAAAAGCGAAAATCGAAACCCCGGCATATGGCCACTAAAAAGTCTTTTTACAATTATTGCCCATAGGCTGTGACTGCAACAGAGCGACTGACACTGACGCTAACAATGCAGCGACATTTTTGGCCTAAAAAATCTAATTTTTTTCGTGGAAACATGAAAAAATATCATAAAATATGCATGGATGGCCCTAACGAAAAAATACAGGAAAAAAAACAAACAAAAAAAAATGCACAAAATATTGCTAAAAACCGGGTCAGAGTCCAGAAAGTCAGAGAGCCATGGAGACCCGCGAGGGTCTGTCTTTTTGTGGCATCTTCTGCGAAGTGTTTTGCCAGTTTTTATGATAAGTAAGTTGTCATTTTCAGTTTTATGATGATTTTGTGATTTTTTGCTCTCGTTGTTATATTTTTTACGCTCTACATTTTTTTCCTCCAATTTTCGCAGAGGACGAGGGCTGAGGATAAGGTCGAGATACAATGGCAGGCTACTAATGTCGAGCAGAGGGCCAGTTTTATATTTTTTTATGGCTTTATGGCCGAGCCAATGACTTCTTTATTAGTGCAGGTCCTTGGCCTTCGCCTTCCCATCTTTTTTTATGATCTTTGAGGCTCTCTCTCACTCTCTCTCTCTCTAGATTGTTTCCGTTTCCGTGATGGAAATACAAATGATGATGAATTTGAGGCCTGAGGTTCAGGTTCTGGTTCTGATTCTCCTTGCTATGTATATGCAAATACTGGAACATGTGTGTTAGCTGTATCCTAATCCTTTTTCGGCCATGTGTTGATAACAACAAACAGCAATTGTAATAGCAATGGCAATAGCAATGGCAATGGCAGGAAGTCAGTGCCACGCCATATATCATATGGGAATGTACGCTGGGAAATATTCGGTCTGGGTCTTTCATGTGTCTCCGGTGCCACTCTGTTTGTGTGTTTATCTATCTATTTATTTATTTGCCTTTGTACACTTATGACATGATGTTAATTACTGCGCGCGACTCCAAGCGCAAAGAGTCGCAGAGCCAGAGAACCGGTGGAAGAGTCACAGAGGAGGAGTCACCGTCCACCGTCCGTGCAGTCCGTGCCGTCCGTCACTTTGAAATGGAAAAGTTCGCCGACTGTTTGCCCCGTGTCAACAGCGGCGACAATTGCCAAACGACGCTAAAGCTGCCCACGAATCCGACGGCACACATATACATACATATGTATGTACATATGCACATCCCATGGCACATACTCGCAGTACATATGACGATGGATAGAGAAATCTGAAAATGGGGAAATCCTTCGCTCTAGGAGAGCCGCATCCGCATCCTGCGGCTATTGATTCAGCCCTGTTTGATGATGGGAAAGTTTATTGAGCCTGTTGTCCAAATATTGTTTAATTGGCTTTCGTCCAGAGGATCACGCGACTAAGAAAAGTCAATCCCCGAGCCAGCCAAAGTCCAGAGTCCGCAGTCTGTGACGGAGTGTGTCGCAATGGGCTTAGTCCTGATCCTGATCCCAGTCCTGCGGGGACAGTCTGTGCTTAAGTGGGTAAAACCAATCAATGGGAAATGTTTCGTGTTTTGCTTGGTTCATGGCTTAGCCGGAGATCCATTACGGAAACGCTGTGTGGGAAAGACAAGTCGACAAGTCAAAGTCGAGGGAGTCTTCAGTAGGGTATGGGAATTCGGAAGCAGGGGATAATGGGATAAGAATATCCATAGTTTTCTTTTTGGTATGGAAATTTTGAAATATTTTTTAATGTGTGGGAAATCCATATCCATAATGGGAATGGGATTCAATTGGATGGATGATCGCCACTTGGCTTTCAAGATTTGTGCATAGATTGTGCTAAGAACGAGACTCTTTATTATGAGATTTATTGAGAGACTCATTGAGGAATAGTATTTCAGATATTATAATATAATTATAATATAATAAAATATGAATTCTTCGTTGAACTATTATCGTTGTCTGTAGCTCAGTCCCTTGCAAAGTTATTTTTTATCCGTATTCGTTTAAGTAGCCTTAAAAGGTTCACCTTTCACTGTGCTGAGGTAGAAAAAGTATCCATAAATTGCACCTGCTTGTCGCTCAAATCAATTACAGCCCATTTGGAGACACACTTGGGGTTACATCTGACCATGGAGTAGCATGAAGCATTTCGAATGCGGAACTCATTAAAGGCAATTGGCAATACCTCAGATACATTTCAGTTGGAAATGGTGAAAGTTCACCCAAATGGGGAGTTACATTTGATGGGAAAACCTCCATGGCAAAATTGCCATCAAACTGCAAATTGTTTGCCAGAATATGCTCTGGAAAATCCGTTTAGTCCTTTGCCCATTCGAATGTGTTTCCATATTCAATTTGTGGGGGAAACGAGAATGGGAAGTACTCATCAATCCGCTCATTATTTTGGCCCAAATGCGAATCTCTTTGATGCCACTAATTGAATTCCGGCTTAAAGTGTAAACGTTAAAAAAAAGTGATTTGTATTGCAAATTAAAATTTAAGTGAAAACGAATCACACGGAAAAACAGTGCAGAGCACAGAGTACAGGGACAATAGATTACAATATCCTGGGGCGAGGTGCCAGCACGACATTAAAAAGGTTGAAAACAGACGGGGGGAATGAGGATTCGAGGATGGGCACGAGGATGAGGACGGGCTCCCTGGCGGGGATGCAGCTGCGGCTGGCTGGCTGGCTGGCACATGCGCCTGGGTGGGATTGGCTTGGGTTTGGGTTTGCTATTGGGATAAGGATGCGGGCAGCAATGGCTGCCTGCCGCCTGCTGCCTGCCGCCTGCCACCAGTCCAGCAGAAGCAGCAGCAGCAGCAACGGAGGCAGCAACAGCAGCAGCGGCAGCAGCAGCAGCAGCAACAACGGGCGTCCGACCGTCAGGCCAACAGTTTCCGCTTGTTTACTGCCACAGAGACGCAGACGGATACCCAGAGTCGTCCCAGAGCAAGAGTCACGAGAGTCAGAGTCGGAGTCGGGGCCCGGCCCGGCCTGGCCCGGCACTGGGTACGTGCACGCGCAGTTACAATAGCAACAACAAAAGCACAAAAGATACAGATACAGCAGCGAACGGCAGCCAGCCAATCCCAGAGCTCGACTGGGCAGCAGGGTAGGCGTGGACGTATCTACCATTTCCAAATAAATTCAACCCCAGATGGTTCAGCATTCGCTCCTCTCTCCACTCCACACCACTCCACTCCATTCCATTCCACTGCTCGCGCGGAGCCTTCAAAACGGGTCGACGAGTTCCCAGTTGCATTCAGTTATTAACGAGCGCTACTCTCAGATACAAATACATTCACAGCAGCAGCAAGCAGCAGCAGGCAGCAGCAGGCATCAGCAGCAGCAGCAGTGGCAGGCACCAACAGCAGCAGAAGTCACTCAACACGCGCACACACACACACACAAACGCAGAGCGAACGAGAGAGGGAGAGTGAAAGAGAGCGAGCGAGAGCGAGTAGGAGGGAACGGGAGCGATAAGCAGCCATAGAAAGAGATAGCACTCGTGCGATTCACACCAGTTTGAGTCGGAGAGCGGCGTCCGCATCGAAATTCAGTTTATTCCGAGACGTTGTCCAGGGCACGTCGCATTCAAGAGATCGCTTTGAAATACCAGACACAAGTGAAAGATACATTTACGTAAAGATACGCAAAATACACAGAGAATAGAGAAACCAAAGCAAAGCAAAGCAAAGCAAAGCAAAGAACAGTAGATTGATTCTACAGTGAAGAACAAGTGAAGTTTCGAGATCAGTTCAAACCAAATACAAACGGGGATTACCATGTCTTCCACATCCGCCTCGCCGATCAGCAACATAACCGTCGACGACGAGCTCAACATCAGCAGAGAACAAGGTAATTATCATCATCCAACAACCAGCGACGGCAAAACGGATTACTTTACCACACCACACCATAACACCCACCCGACAACCGACACCCGACAACCGACACCCGACATGTATCTGGGAGCTAAAAATCTAACGAAATGCATTTCATTCGATTACTTTCCAGACTTTGCCGACGACGATTTCATTGTGATTAAAGAGGAGCGCGAGAGCAGTCTCTCCCCAATGCTGACACCGCCGCACACACCCACAGAGGAGCCCCTGCGGAGGGGACACTCCACAAGCGCCGATGAGGCGGTGGCCACACAGCTCCATATGCGGCACATGGCACAGTACCAACAGCAGCAACAGCAGCAGCAGCAGCAGCAACATCGCCTCTGGTTGATGCAGCAGCAGCAGCAGCAACAGCATCCCCACTACCCCGTCTATGCGGCGGCTGCAGCCGGAGCTGCAGCCAGTGCCGATCCCGTGGCCGTGCACCAGCAGCTGATGAACCACTGGATCAGGAACGCCGCCCTCTACCAGCAGCAGCAACAGCAGCAGCAGGCGGCACAGGCCCAGGCGCACCACCATCCGCACCACGCCCATGCCCACCCACACCACCACTCGCACCACGCCCATGCCCACCCACATGCCCATCCACACCAGCATCCGCACCATCCGCACGGTGTGAGGCCGTACCCCACGGGACTGCATGGACTCCACATCGCAGCTGGCCGCCACTTCGGCGCCCTGCCCACCATGAAGCTGAGCGGAGCCCCGGGAGCGGGCGGAGCCACTGGCTCCGGCAGCAGCCGACCAAAGAAGCAGTTCATCTGCAAGTACTGCAACCGGCAGTTCACCAAATCCTACAACCTGCTCATCCACGAGCGCACCCACACGGACGAGCGGCCGTACTCCTGCGACATTTGCGGCAAGGCCTTCCGGCGGCAGGATCATCTGCGGGACCACCGCTACATCCACTCCAAGGACAAGCCCTTTAAGTGCAGCGACTGCGGCAAGGGCTTCTGCCAGTCTCGCACCCTGGCCGTCCACAAGGTCACCCACTTGGAGGAGGGCCCCCACAAGTGCCCCATCTGCCAGCGAAGCTTCAACCAGCGGGCGAACCTCAAGAGCCATCTGCAGAGCCACAGCGAGCAGAGCAGCAAGGAGGCCACCACGTCACCCACCTCGCCCACATCCCCCAGCGGTGGGGCACCAACCCAGGCATTGAGCTCGCCTCAACCTGAACAGTTGGTGCACCATCACCATCATAATCAGCACCACCACATGCCCGTCCTGGATCTGTCCTCGTCGTCATCCGCCTCGTCCGCCACCACGGCGAAGCCCAAGCGCACTCTGGGCTTCACCATCGACGAGATCATGAGCAGATAGAGAGATGCACGGAGACCGAACCGAAGGTTAATCCATTCTTGGTTTGTGTTTAGAGTCATCCAGAGTTGGCCCGGCCAGGCATGGGAAGTGCCTGGCCCGGACCTCGCACAGAGTCCAGCTCGAATCCTGGCCAAAGGGACGCCACATCCTCGCCAGCACACCCCGCAATCGCACCCAGTGAGAGGAGTTAAAGTAGCAGCAGCAGTGGAGATGCTATCAGTCAGAATTAGTGCAATCGGTTCTATATGGAATAGATATATAGATGCCGGCATTGTCCTAGCCAAAGCCAAAGCAAAGATACAGATACAGAAACAGATACGAAAGAGAAGATACGAAAAGTATTGCAAACACACACGCCTCCTACAAAACAATTCCAAAACATTACACAGTCGAATCGAATCGAATTGAATCGAACTTCGCTGTCGAACTGTAAAACTATTATTTAATTATATACCTGTAATAATGTAACTATAGTTTAATTAAAGTTAATATATGGTACCTTATAGCCAATTAAGTAAACCAAATGTTATGTTACAATAGATCAATCAATCAATCAATCATTTAAACCAATCCCAGACAAACCAAACCTCACACCCGTTCTTGGTTATTGAAAGACTGTTTTCGTAATAGCTTTTACCATTATACATATTTGAATAAATCAATCCGTGGATTGTTCAATGCGTTAAACCAAACCAAGTCCCATGATTATTATTTCTCATAATGATTCCCTATATATGATTCATCATTAGAGTTACCTTTAGAATTTCCCCCCCTATCAAACGTGACTTAACACAAAGATACAACGATCTCATTGTCGCCTATAGCCTGTATATATATTATGTATGTTCGCATGTATCAAATATTTACCATTGCATGCGCCCAAAATGATATGAAGCTATCACAAGAAATATATACATATGTATGGAAAATAATTTCAACTGAAATTTAGAACGTTTTTTCTTTATCGGTGGGAATTTCTGGGATTTAGTTACCCCAAACCTAAGTCTCGGCAAATCGCAATGAAATTTGATAGATAAGTTAATCAACAGGGTTCTTTGAAAAGGTTTATTATTTGGCAGAAGAATTTTTATATCATGGAATTGATTTAAGAAAGGTTGCTAAACGACAAAACCTGAATGTTCTTTTTTCTGTTCTTGCGAATTGAATGACCTCTAAATAAAATCTCTAGTTGTTCTTGTGAAAACTATATTAGAAATTTTTTGGTTACAGAAAATAGTTTATATAGTTCTAGCGCCATTTCGCATATTTTAAGCAGCTAATATTCATTATATGGTAATTATACTTTCTATCTGAGTGTATCTTAATACTCAAATCAATATCATTATGTTAAATTTTCCTTTATCCAAATAAACTTTGAAAATCGATTTTTGTTTATATAAAAACATTTAAAAAATTTAATATTACACCAAATGTATTCTTAAGACAAGTTTCAGCTTGATCTGCATCTTTCGCATTGCATTCCCAAACCGATTCTGGTCTGTTTTCAGTATCCGCATCCGCATTATGTACATATATTATCTGTATCTCTATCATCTGCCATTTCCCTTTGGTTTCACTCCCACACCGTGCTCCCATGCTGCGACGATAACTCATTTAATTCAATTCGGATGACCATCTTGGGAGGAACATCAAACAGCAGCTGTCAAAATTTATTAACCATTGGCACAACTCAGTTTCGATTCACATTCGCATATTTTAAGCAGCTCTATTAATTTTGAAGATTCCGATTAAGTAAGCAGAAGTTTCGCCTTATAAAAGGGGAGCAACACAATCAATGCTAAAACTGTCGCAAAACTTAATTTATGAAATCGAATCGAAACGAATTCGGATTTGATTTCGGGTTTGCTTTTGCTGTGGTTTTGCTTTTGTTATATTTTTGAGGTGTGGTCCAAATATTTATGGCATTTGTTTCAGCTTCAGTGTTTAGGTTTTGGTTTAGTTTTCATTGTGGGTTCCATTGAAATTGGCCCAAAGTGAGGAGAACGTGCCAAATGGCAGCTCAAACTGGGGAAAACAATTGCAATGCTCTGAGGTCTCCAGCTCATTCTATTCCGTTTCGAAACTCCATTTCTTTTAGCACGCTCCTTACCAGGAACTGTCAATATTTCGATTGTGATCTTTGTCCCAAATCAAGCATAAGATTGTCTTTAATTGAGGCCTGAGGTCATTTCTGTCTGGCTGTCTGACTGTCTGACTGTCTGTGCCCGCATGCCAAGTACTAAGGATCTGATCTGCGTGCTGGTTCGTGCACCAACAGCTGCCTCATTTGCTGCTCAATTTCCATTACACTTTGATGACATACTCCGGCATTTGGCCGGGCATTATGGCCATGTACAATTGATTCCGTTTCGCATTGTTTGCGATTTCCATTGCCATTGGCATTGCCATTGGCATCCAAAATGTAAACGTATTCGCCAATTGATGTCTACATTGAAGTCAACCCTCCTCAGGTGTGTGTTGTGTGCGTTGTGTGGTGTGTTGTGTGTTGTGTTGTGTGGATCGATGGCTTGACAAGTATCCTGGACGCGCCCTCCTGCAACGCCCCGGAGACATTTCAATGTCTCAAGATATCCTGCGGCTACGCGCTGCATTTGGCCAGTGTGGGTTGGCCAAAATCGCAGCAAGATCCAGACCGTGGCTATGGGTCTTATCTTGGTCAACCGTTGGACTTGTCCTAGCCATCCCATCCCATCTCGTGTTTTGCAACACTTCGCTGCAGGAAGTCCCCAGTCGCAGAGCACCAGCAGGCCTTGGCCTGGGCCTGGGTCATGTCCTGGCATTCGACACACACTGTCCACAGAACAGGACATAATTGCACGAATCCGCACTGCGTACAACCAAAATATTTTGTGAAAGTAGCAGCGGGACATCGAAGCCCGAAGACTGAGATTGCTGTGCGCCAGAGCGGGATGCGGCACAGGCAGGGGCGGGGGCAGGGGCAGGGACTGTTATCCTGCGAGTAGCTGGCCAGATTGATGTGTCCGTATGGGGTTTTGTCCCTTTTGTCTGCCCCTGCCCTATCGCTGTCAGTTTGTGCCTTTTTTAGGCCACAATTAAAAGGATCGGTTCCGCAACTAGGGTGGCCCTAGCCCTAGCCCTAGCCCCGTACTCTTGCCACTTTCGGATCCATGTACGTCTATGTATGTGCTCCTATCCTCTGGATTGTAGTTGTAAATTGTAGTGGCAGGACGTGCTGCAGTACGACGTCTGCCAAAAGTGAGCCATTTACTGCCACAGAAGCACCCCTTGGCTCTCTGGGCTCACTTGGCTCTTGGTCTTGGCCCTTCCTCCTTGGCACCCTTGGTGGCTGACGGCTGATGGCTGCTGGCTGCCTACCGAGCATGCAATTTTAATGAGCTGCAGGATCTCTCGACAGCAGGACATACCTCTTGTTCTGTTCGGGGCACGTTCGCACTGCACTTGTGGCCTTGGCGACCACCCAGTAGATGTCAGCGAAGAAGTTGCCTCGTTTGCTCCGCAATTAAAACGTTGCCAATCGATTTTTCGCCATTGAATGGCTTTGGCAGGGAGTCAGCGTCACCATTGAATGGATCTATCGGGGAGGGGATATCTGGAGAGGCAGTTCGAATATGAGTGCCCAGCGGAACGAGGACACTCTTTAAATGGCCGTTGACAGAACCCCTCATAGCCGCTGATGATGATGGTGATGATGACAGCATTACCCTACACATAACTACATAACTCTGTGTGTCTGTCTCGCTGTCTCGCTGTCTCTCTGTATGCCATTTCCAGGTTGTCAAGTGAGCCAAGCCCAAAAACACAGATACAAAACTTGTCTCTCGTAATTGTACATTGTCTAGATTGTCAGCTTTTGAAGGTGGTTTGATATGCCGACGACGACGACGACGCTACGCCTTTTGCCCCACAGCCCTAGCACTACAGCGGTGCGTGCCACTTCACTGCTTTCATTACGATTCGAATACTGTGATTTGATCACAAGTGAAATGATATTCGAATTACGAGTGGGAAAGGGTTGGATATTTGATGAGGAAAGCATAGAGAATGGGAATATTTGGGGAAGTTTCATGCAGAAATTAATTCCTAAATTTTTTACCTGAATGATGTTTAGATGATATAAGTACAGGTACATTTGTATATGCAAATGAAATACTATACCCAGTTAATCTTTAGTTTAGCATTTTTTAATCCACAATCTCACTTGCTTAGCTTTTTATGGAGTCTAAATGAATAGGCTTAAGTTTTAGTCTACTTCAAACAAAAAAACTCTCGAGCAAGTCACAACTCATCACAGAGTAAGAATGTTCTACTTATGTTCTGGTGAGTCATGCCACCCCTTTTCGGAGCCGCCTCTGATGGCTCCCCACTTGCTGATGGCTGTGGCGTTGTGGCACACAGTAGTCGCATGTGTCCCAATGTCGCGCCTAATTGCACTACACGCGTAGTTACTTAGAGCCCCCCAGACGACACCTACAGCCACTTGCCAGACGACAAGCCGAACGCCGAACTAGACCGAGGGGGGGGCGGTCGTTCCATGCCGAGAGAGATACGTACTTGACAACAGAACTAACTAGCAGACAGACAGACAGACAGACAGACCCAGAGCCACTTGAGCCCCCACCTTGTTGGGAACACGCTCTGGGTGTTCGTTTCTGTGTTTTTTTTATGGTCTCCTCCACTATCTATCGAATATTTTGACACTTTTGTTTTGTTTTGCCTAAAAAGGTGTTTTAAATATAACTTACTTACGCGTCTTCTCGATATCAGCCAAAAAACACCAGAACAAAGCAACTGCTCTGGGGTTCTGTTTCTGTTTCAGGTTCTGACTCTGTCTCTGATTCTGTGATTCTCTGATCAGGTCTAACAATTTAATCGCCTGAGGTTCTCCGGCTTGGCTTGGTTTGGCTTATCGCCTGGGCTCAATCTCTCAGTCAGTGCATTAATTGACACCTAGACCCTTATGTGGAACTGTAACTCCTTCCACCTAGACGAAACCCTAGACGACCCTCTAGGCGACCCTCCGGTCGGCCGGCCCTGACAAGGGACTGTCAATTAGGCTGGTGAATTTATCACCGGGCACAAATCAGTTTGGGAAATTTGTGTAGCTCCGAAAACAAATGCTAACCTGGCTAAGAGAGCGATCAATTTTATTGGCGGCGCGCAGCGACTAGACGACACCTCTGGGCATGGGAGGTCCACAGCCACAGCCACATCCACATCCACACCATGCCATACACCCCATCCCCCATCCTCCAATCACTTATTGAGAACTTAATTGAATTACCAAAGAGAGAGAGAGGGACACAGGGAGACAAGGGGAGAGTGGTTGCTTAGAGGCTGGTGTTAACCGCATTGGGCATGGGACCCTGCCCTGTTGTTGTGGTGTTGGCCAGATAAAGATGAAATGGTCACAGAGGCAACACCTTAGTTAGTGGTTCCATCATCCATGGCCAACGAGAGAGAGAGAGAGTGAGAGAGAGAGAGAGAGAGCTGTCCTGACAACTCTTTTGTTTGTTATGCTCTGGGATTGCTTTGCTGTCTTTTCACTTGTTCCACGCACCGTTGTCCGCTTGTCCAGTGTCCACTGTCCACTGTCCAGTGTCCGCTGTCTGTTTTATTTTTTATTATTTCATTCTCGGTTCTTTGACATTTTAATGCGCCCGCTGGCATTGTGGCACTCTCATGGTGGTCACTCGAACACCCTTGAAAATGGTGTGATAGCCATAATCCGATATAAATAAGACATTATAAGAGTGGGACCCTCTTCCCCCTACCCACCATCACCCAAGCAGGATCCGTCGAGCTGCTCTGAGCTCTGGGAATGCCTCTCATTGGGGGATTACAAGGAATCGACGACATGTGGCGCTTCACTGGGCACAAAGGCAAAGGCAATGGCAAAGCTTTTTATTCAAAGGGAGACTCGACTCA